AAAAAAGAAGAAGACAAATAACACAATGCTATAATTTTGGAAACATGTGTGAAATTTGTGAAGCTATAATTACGTTTGTTTGTTTTCAAATCCATAATTTTAGGCTACATTTAATGATTGTCAATTTGTTATTTAAAATAATTCAAAATATTATCAAAAATGGCATGCAATTAATGTTGTTGGATTTTCTACTTACTATTTTTAAAAAATGTTAATTCTTTTTATATATATATATATAGATATACATATAGTATATATACGCGCAAAAAAATCTATGTTTAGGCAGATTCGAAATTTATATTAAAAAAGTAACTATATTATTATGTAGGCAAGAATTATGCTTAATTTATATACTATAATCGATTTCTATGTCATTATTAGATATTGTTGAATAAAAAGTATGTGTATAATTTTAATGCATATTATTAAATCTTATTGAAGACATTGATATAATAATTATCTCCACCCATTCCTTCATGTCACCTTCATTTTTTTTTAATTTTTATTTATTTATTTATTTTTGGCTTCTAAATAGTCATGTAAATGAGTTTCTTTGTGGTCATAAAAACAAAACAAAAATGTTCCTATTTTCTGAGCCAACAAATAAGGGAGAACACTTTCAGTTAGTGCGAGAAGGATTTGCAAATAAATGGAATTCTTCGTCCGAGGAATTATTTTGTCAAATCATCCAAAGAATTGTTCAGACAGAGGGCATGACAACAAAGTCTCATATCATGGACGCCTTCGAAAGAATTCACGAAGCATGTCTGGCAGAAATTAATCACAGTCTCAATATTGGAAGAGTGTTATGTTACGTTCATAGTAATAAAAGAAAGGTACCGTACGTCTAAATATTTGATGAATGGACCTAACGTGGTTTTTTATGTCAACGAAAAATTCCTACATCTTGACGGACATACACGGGAACAGGCCATTGAGGTAATTCGAATTGTATTATAAAATAGTGTCTACCTTGCGTATCATAAAACTATATCGTTACACTCGTTCATTGACGTACCTTCCTATGATTCACGTCAGGGGCGTCCCGGTCAAATCGGGGGCCCAGTGCAAAATTCCAAGATGGGGCCCTAATAGCCTATTAAAATTAAACAATAATAACAAATAACATATAAATGGAATATTTCAAGAATTATTATATCTACTGTTCACTTGAAAGTGAGGACGAAGTAGAAATTGTTGATTGATTCCTTTTGTTCATTGCATCACATGCTTTATACTTTTTTTTTTTTTTTTTTTTTGGCACAAATGCTTTATACTATTTGGACCCACATAATTTGCCAATACAAATAATAATAAACTCAAAATAATAAATGTTGATATGTGTGACTTCAATTAGTGCCTTTGCCACGTGCCTTGACCAAATGCTCCAATTCTTCAATTTGTCTTTTCTTCACACCAATTCCATTTTTCCTTTTCTGCATTTCTTCTGCAACTTCCTCCAAAGACGATTTCTTCTCCAATCTGATCTCGAAGGTGACGCTTATATTTTGGGGCCCTTCAAATTTGGGGGCCCTGTGCGGTCGCACAGCCCGCACGGGCCCAAGGACGCCCCTGATTCACGTCGTTTCTCCATATTTTTTCTCGCACAACACTGGGCACTAGCAGAACATTATTTCAGCAATCCAAAACCTATGTGGGATACACTTACAAGAACTTTTGACGATATAAGCCTTCACAGCTACCCTGACGAAAGGTCTTGGAAGAGGCACCCAGATTTTCCGTCTTTAGAACAACTGCTGGCCGACTATTGGGCAGAAGAGGCGCGTAGAAAGAGGCGTTAATAAATGAATTTCATTTTCCATGTGCTTTCAGTTTATGTTTTCTGTACCGTCCGTTTTGTGTCATCTTGGATTCATAGTGGCAATGTGTTTTCAATTTATGTATTATGTAATGTTCCATATTTGGTAATAAATTGTCTTTCATTTGCATAAATGATTGCACAGTAATTATTGAGATACAGTAATTTCGTCTTCATCTATAAAAAGAAAATGATACGTGCGATTTAAACGAAAGGGCCCAAATTTAATTAATCTTAATTTTTTTGTTTCAACAAACAATGAACGAATTTTCATAACAAAATTTATCGCCAGGGTAGTGTCCAAATTTACTCCAATGTTGCGCTTTGATTTCGGCGTTACTCCGAAGTTGTGAACAGTGCATCGCTGGATGTAGCGATGCACTGTAGATAACTTTACAATTTTTTTTTTTGTGTATTATTATTGGTAAATTTTTATATAATGTGTATTAGTAAATGTATTTTTTATGCTAAATAATTTGTGCAATGTCTTTTTTTTATGCTAAATAATTTTGTGTTTTTTATTTATTGATGTATTATAATTTTATTTTGCAATTTTTTAATATTAAAATAATACCATATGAATAAAAATTTAACACAACTCATTTTTCTATTATTCACACGTGAACTCAAGTTTCTCTAATTAAATACTCGGAACTCTGAAATACTCGATTAAATGTCTCGCATGTCATCGTGACTGAATGATCTACACTTCCCAACTCAATTATTGGTAAATCGAAGTCACACGCGACCGTGCAGGGCCCACGTAAACGGCTTTTTTTTCATTTATTTACATATTCATATATATATAGCAAATTATTTGAAAATAAAAATAAATAAAATATTTTTTTATTATTTGAGTAATTTTACATTTTATATAAGATTAAATATACATATATACTAATTTATTTGAAATAAAAATGAATAAAAAAATAATATA